CCCTCGGTGTCGCGCCCGTACCGCGGACCAGCAACGGGATCGCAACCCTCGGTGTTGCGCCCGCACCACGCCCACCCACTGAGCGGGAACCGGTCTCCACGTGGGATCCGAACCCTCGGCGGGAGCGCCGCCGCACTCCCAAGCGGCGCACTCTCCAGTGAGCCACCGGGCCGGCCCTAAAGATTGATATTTTAAAACAAAACCGAAAAACCTCCAAGAGTCACCAGTGAAATGTGGATAACTGGCTTTCTGCTCAGGCCAGGATGAAGTTTTAGGTTTATATATAATAAAGAAGTAAATCAGTAAACAGAAATGAATAAGACATTTAGAAATAGTTGTAATTTTATGTTTTAAAAAATAAAACATAATTTGCTAACCAATGAAAGAGCCCATCATAGGCCTGGCTGGTTAGCTCAGTTTGTTAGAGTGCAGTCTTGTAACACCAAGGTCATGGGTTTGGATCCCTGTACCAACCAGCCATCAAAAACAAAAAACAAAAAACAAACAAACAAAAAAAACGGGAAAGGTCCATTACAATAAGAAAATTATGAAAAATTTGTGGGAATCCTTTCAATGATAAAAATAAAAGCTCAGAGAAATGCTATAAAAATTCTAACCTTCAAAGTCTGTACGATCTTTGAAGAGCCCCAGGGTTTTTTTCTTTTTACCTATCATAAAAATAATTTTTAAACGCTTTTTTAAAAGTCTGTTATTAAAAAAGAAAAAGTGGGGGGCGGCCCGTGGCTCACTTGGGAGAGAGTGGTGCTGACAACACCAAGTCAAGGGTTAAGATCCCCTTACCGGTCATCTTTAAAAACAAAAAAAAGAAAAAGTGGGTGGTGGAAAAAGACAAAAGACCATACAAAAGTGAAACAGATACTGGACAGAGATACTTAAGTCTAGGAAACCATGGATAATATAATCCATCGGGAACATCAAGGATATTTTTGGGTTATTTTTATAGTCATATTTTTTTTTCCTTTTTGTCTTTTTTACTGACCGGTAACGGGATCGCAACCCTCGGTGTCGCGCCCGTACCAGGGACCGGCAACAGGATCGCAACCCTCGGTGTTGCGCCTGCACCACGCTCAGCCAGTGAGCGGGAACCGGTCTCCACATGGGATCCAAACCCTCGGCGGGAGCGCCGCTGCACTCCCAAGCGGCGCACTCTCCAGTGTGCCACCAGGCCGGCCCTATAGTCATATTTTTAAAAGAGTAATTTGCAGATCTTAGAATTTGAATTTATAAAGATTAAAATTTTGAGTGAAATAGGGGCCAGCCCGTGGCTCACTCGGGAGAGTGCGGTGCTGATAACACCAAGGCCCCGGGTTCGGATCCCATATAGGGATGGCCGGTTGGCTCGCTGGCTAAGCGTGGTGCTGACAACACCAAGTCAAGGGTTAAGATCCCCTTACCGGTCATCTTTAAAAAAAAAAAAAAAAAAAAAATTTTTTTTGAGTGAAATAAAGCATGTTTTTATGGAACAAAACCAGTAGGCCAAATAATTATAACACTTATTAAAATTTATTTCTTACTACTACTAACATTTCTTTAGAATAAATAAGGACTGTGTACGTGAAATAAGTTATTATTATTATTTTTCTTTTGGTGGCTGGTTGGTACAGGACCTGTACCTGTGACTTCAGTGTTACAAGGCTGCACTCTAACCAAGTGAGCTAACCGGCCAGCCCCTGAAAAAGGTATTGAGAAAGATCGAAGGATAAGCATTTACCATATACCACAAAGATCAATGGCTTTTAAAGGATCTTCATGAAATCTTTTAGCCTGTCTGCATAATGGAGTGTCTATACCTGCCCTCAGTGCACCAGAGAGATCCTTGGCATTGGCAGTCCTCATGACCAACTGCCCGTGAGCATCCATGTCTGCACAATGCATTCCCAGAGTTATAGGGAATACTTCATTCTGTGCTCAGATGGGGTCAGATTTCTCAGGTGGCATGATACTTCCTTGTCAGGCATTAGCCCCACAACCTCATTTCCCTCTGAGTTCAGAACTTCTGCTGTCAATTTCACTTTAATCCAAAATTCTCCCCAAATTTCTTAATCTACCTTCTCTCTGGAATATCTATTTGACTGCCAGGGGTCCTCCAACTTCTAACACTCTTACAGTGCGACTATGGGTGAAGTGAGGCATAGATGCAGGACACTGGTCCCACTAGGCCACTCTCTGCTCTAGAGAGACACTTGTCTTATTTCCCAACTTCCTCCACCCCTCCCATTTTGGCCTCTAGGTCTTTTGTCCACTCTTTTATCTTGTCTCCCTATATCCTGGGCATTCTTTTCCAGGATTTGCTTGAGTCTATCTTCTCCAGCAATCCTTCATTCTCCACCTATTTTAAATCATACTGAAACAGATGGCCCCTGGAATGGAATACTACTGCAAAAATGGTAAGATTATGTACTTGCGATTTTTTTTTTCTGGATGGCTGGCACAGGATCTGAACTTGTGACCTTAGGGTTATAAGGCTGTGCTCTAAACAACTGAGCTAACTGGCCAGTCCCTTGTACTTGTGATTTTATCCTCATTTGTTCTTTTCCAAATGTACACATACAATGTAATGAGGAATATAAAATTCCTTCTGAAAAATGATTTTTGGAATTCAACACAGTCAGGAATGTATCACTGCAAACCTGCATTCTAAAACATTTACTGATGGCCTAGTGACAGTGACAGGCATTGAACAAATAAAAAGATGAACAAGACAGACCTGGTCTCTGCTGCAATGTAGTTTATAGTCTATCAAAGGAAACAATTTCTTCTCAAAGCTCCTTAAAAACAGAATCTCCTACTTCTCTCTCTCTCTCTCTCTCCTATTATGGTAAAATATACACGACATAAAATTTATCATTTTAACCCTTTTCAAGTATACAGTTCTGTGGCATTAAGTACATTCATATTGTTGGGCAACCATCACCACTATCCACCTCCAGAACTTTTTCATCTTCTCCAACTTAAACTCTGTCCCCATTACACACTAACTCTCCATTTGCCCCCAGTCCCTGGCAACCACCATTCTATATTCTCTCTCTATGAATTTGACTACTCTAGGTACCTCATATAAGAGGAATCTATTTGTCCTTTTATGACTGGCTTATCATAATATCTTCAAGGTTCAACCATGTTGTAGCATGTGTCTAAATTTCCTTCCTTTTTAAAACTGAATAATATCCCATTGTATGTATATACCACATTTTGTTTATCCATTCATCTGTTGATGAAAACATGGGTTGCTTCCACCTTTTGGCTATCATGAATAATGCTATGAATATGGGTGTACACATGTCTATTCAAGTCTCTGCTTTAACACACACACTTCTTAATTTTTTTTTTTAGTAAGGATAATTTAAAATACACACAAATCAGAGAAAGATTTTCATGTACCCACCAACCAGGTTCAACAATCATCAACATTTTGCCAATCTTTTTGTTTTTGTTTTTGCTGTGGTATTTATTGTGGGTTGAATTGTGTCCACCCCAAAAGATGTCTTAACACCTAGCACCTGTGAATGTGACCTTATTTGGAAATACGGTCTTTACAGATGATCAAGTTAAGATGAGGTCATTAGGGGAGCACTAATCAAATATAACTGGTATCCTTATAAAAAGGGAAATTTGACACAGAAACAGACACGCAGAGGGAAGACCAATGTGAGTATACAGGGAGAATGCCATCTTATAAGCCAAGGATGCCGAGGCTCCCAGAAGCTAGGAGACAATAACTTTCTGTTGTTCTAAGCCACCCAGTCACAGGCACTTTGTTATGGCAACCTGGCAAACTAATATAGTATTTTAAAGCAAATTCCAGATACAATATCATTTTACCTATAACAAATGTAAATACTTAAGTATGTGTAGTATGCATTTCTAACTGATAAGGACTTTAAAACACCTAATAAAATTATCAATGATCTCATAATGTCACCTAATATCCAATCAGTATTCAGAGTTGTATTTTTACAGTTAGTTTGTCTGAATCAGGATCCATTCAAGGTCTCACACTGTATTTGGTTATTTTGTTTAAGAAAATTCTATAAAAGTTCCCCTTTCTATTCCCACACCAAACCAATGATATGTTAAATTGGGCCACCTATCTTGCAGAATATCCATGTTCTGAATTTGCCCGATTACTTTGTTGCAGTGTCTGCTATCACCACAATCCAGTTACAAAACATTTGTTACCCAA